CACTGCACTCGTTCTCCAACGGCTTCGGTTACCCATTACCTCTTTAACATCCAACTCTGAAATCAGTTCCTCATAAAAAATATAAATTCGTAAAGAAAATGCATTAAGTGAGCTTTTTGTTATATTCCATTTCACCATATGGTGAAAATATTGTATATCGCAATTGTAAACTTTAGGAATAAATTTTTTTATTGTTGTTGCTGTGTTCTGTTCTCATTTCGTTTCTGATATAACTTATCCAGAGAAGTTACGTTCTCGGGTTTAGATATGAAGGTGGTATGTAAATAGCAATGAAGAAACTTTTGAAAATTATAGCCACCATTTAGTTGTATTTTGTTTGGCAATAAGATATATAGTGAGGTGTGCTGCTTGTTTAAAGACGGTATATATGCATGAATAAATGAAATAAGACGCTGTGAGGCAGATTTTGAATATGATGATTTCAAAGCGTATTGGAATACATAAGAGCAATAATTGGAATCGTTTACATGTGCATACACACGTAAATATGTTAAATTCATCTGAAAACGTTTTTAGTGTCGCGTAACAATTCAATTTTAAGCACTTTTATTGCACGAAGTGAGACTAATACATACGTGGCTTGGCAGAAAACTACCAACGCATGTTGAATATTTGATACGTATATGTGTAGGTTTAATATAACATATTAACTTAGTGTAGAAAGAAGCATTTGTACCTATCTACAAATTTAATCATTATTCGCCTATTTATTAAAATGAATAATTTTGATAATATTTTCAAAATGTGAGATGATTGTGTTACATGAATGTTGAAGAATACAGTACCTAAGTAAATTACTGAAAAAATATATAATATACATATAAAGGAGCTCATTAACGAAAATTGTTGGCGAAGAAAGTATGATAAAACTCCATATATTAAAGCTGCCCATCGCTGTATACTGGAATGATTTAGTGATCGGGTAAGTTTTCTACAGTTGAGTGAGTTCGTAGATCGCATTTGTCGCCCATTCCACTTTACGCTGGAACAAAACTTGGAATGCATACCTACACAGTCACTTTATCTAAGACAAACTATTGGATTATTATAAAGCTTAAATCATAGTTATATATATAAGAATATATAAATAATAATCATGTTTGAATCACCATCTTATCATTTTATACATCAATATATATTATTTTAACCGAACATGTCGAATATTTATTTATATACTCATGTACTTAGATATCTGCGTATATTTATATATACATATATGTAGATACCTATTGAAAATCTGAGAGAGTAAGATATTTAACATTCTTTTTCGAAATTTTCTGTTCTCTAAACGTATAATTTTAGAGCCAAGCTTTTGGCATTAAAGAGAATTTAGGGAGGAACAAACTTGAATTTAAACATGTTGTGCCAGAGATATTTATGTTATTTTACGTTCTTTGGTGGTGGGAAAGGCATTATAAAAATAATTGAAAAGCTACTTATATTGTTCCATATAAATATCTAGTATATGCACATATTCATATATATGTACAAGCATAACAACATAGGTATTTTACATACGCACATGCTTTTGTCTATAACTTGATTTACGCAAACGTACATACATATTTATGCATATGTGCATAATTGTAGTTTTATCAATAATATCGCCAGAGAAGATACAACCTACAATGTACGTTCTCTGATATCAATCTTAAATTCTTTGGACAGGCTATACCAGAGAACGGGTTTTCAGAGATGTTCTCTGGTTTTTTCAGGTTTTGTTAGATCTTCGTTTCAAATGTGCCCGTTATGGTTCTTTTAAGTTCTATGTGCGTGTGATAATTTAAACTTGGGAGAGCACAGTGTGCACATACAAGTATACATTTAAGAGATTTCACACCTTTTTTGATTCTTAATGTGAAAACTCTAATGTAATACTATAAACGCATTACGTTTTCTGAAGTCTACTTTTACCGTACGTATAGAATAATACCAATCTTTGCATAATACTGAAAGCTAATGATAAGATTCGCCAGCCATTTATATTTTTAATATGATATATTAACACTACATCAAAGTTAAACCAAATTTACATTGCATGATTAATAATGTTCCATTATGAAAGTTTAAAAATGGATAGTCACACTACCGCGATCTTTTTACTAGTATTCAATACAACAAAATAGCGAAGAAATATTACTGTCAACTTCCTTTAAATTACATACAAATTTAAAATAAACATATTTCGGCATTTGGTGGTTAAAGAATGTTATGTTTTTTGTTTTTGTGTTTTCTGTAAGAATAGTTATATTAAAAACTAATTCATTGATTCACGGGGTTACATTATATTAAACACATAGACACATGTGCATACCTATAAGGTACGTATACGTATTTAATACCACTACATATAGCACATCATGGTTTCATTATATTATGTTGCCATGGTAAATCTTAGAACGACATATTGCGTGAGGCACAACAATGAACAACAATAAAATAATCGCAGATTTTGATTGTTTTCATAAGTGTAAAATCACTGTATAGTAGTTATATAAGCAGTCCTATAAACATCTTTGTAGTCGTTAATAAAACAATAAATAAAATTCCAATAGCGGTTACCTTCCAGCGGGGTATGACCAAACTATGTTGATATGTTCTGCCTTTCCCTAATATTACAAAAAAAAAAAACGTTCAGAGCTTCGTAATATACAACTATTATTTTAAAAATATCTTCTTTAATGAGCTTTTTGGCGAATTTAATATATTATGAGTAACTTTGATTAATTACAGCCAAAAAAAGTTCAATAAAGTTTGCTGTACATAATTACTTTATTTTATGAATTGCACATTTAATTAAAAGTAGGAAATAATCATCATAGGTGATGTATCCCAAAATGAATCAACTTAGCTATTTAATAATTACTATACATACCATTTCTCAATTTTTTAGGTAGATATATTTGACAACCGCCAGTCAGCCTGTAGGAATCTCTCAGCAACGAATTATAAATCTGATTAAAATAAAAATCATATATACTATGCAGATATCCAAAGAATGGCAAAATCACGGAATGCTCTCTACGCTGCTGGAGTAACTTGTTTAGGGTTTCTTTGCTTTGCATTAGCCTCAGCTGCTATAGGAATACCTATTTGGGGTTACTATGATAGTCCAACTGGTGACTATTTATAAATTTTCGATAATCCATATATACACATTTACCTATAAATACAATTTCAGGTGGCTACGATTTCGATCGAGGATATTTCGGCCTCTTCAAAGTTTGCAAACAGCTAACATATAACCGGGAAAAATGTGGTAATGATGTTTCGAAATTCCGACTATCCAGTAAGTATTTAGAGGTAAATAGAAAAATTCATCATTAAATATTTTCTTTTAGCGGTCGTTAACATAAGTGGTCTATTAACTATTGCAAGTTCGGCAGCTCTAGGTATTTTCTGTGTTCTTTCGATAATACAAATAGCGATGATATCCTCTCGTGAAAAAGTTGTAATGCCTTACAATACATTGGTTTTATTAAAGATGATATTGGCGTTAATTGCATGTGAATATAAATCTTTTATTCTTTGTTTCTTATTTATCTATTTGCAACTTTTTATTTAGGTTTGTTGGCTACTATCGCAACAGTAATATTTGCTCTACAAATCGATGATTCAGAAAAATATGGCTTTAAAATTTCTCGAGGCATATCGTTTTATTTACAGGTAAGCAATGCTCTTAATATTTTCAAAAATATAGCATATGTATATTTTGTTTTTTTTGATTATAGAAGTAACCAAGTATATTTACTTACAATATATCGAAAATAATAATAATGGAAAATAATTTTTCACTGATTAATTATGTGAAGACAATTTAGTAGTATTTCTTGTTTTAAGATAATGAAAATTATCTATAAATTAAAATAATATCTACTGAAAGAAGATACACATGGTTGTTGTTAAAACGAAGACAGATTACCAGACTCTTAGTTATTGCAAACAATTTTCAATATGGCAGCTTCTTGGTTCTTGGTCTCGTGGTTTAATTCCAATATTACCAGAATATTGAATTCTGATTTCAACAGCAGTCATATTCCACAACCATAATCATAACCATGTTTTAAGTCAGAAATTGTCAGCGGAGATAAATTAAAAGGTAGATTAGAAACTGAAACAAATATAAGGAAGGCATTAGCCTTGTATCCTGCTCGTGTGAAGTGACATTTAATTCTTATATTTAAAAGGGGTTTTCAAATAAAAAAAGTATTCATAATATGGTTATATAAGAAATTATTATGCCACATGTTCACTTTTTCCGAAATGAGGTAATCTTTCTTTGAAAATAGTATATAGTAGATAGCCTTATTGTTTGAAATAAGTCAACCGAAAGGAAATGTAAACCAAAAGGAAATATTGATTGTGTATAGCAATGCATATTTTAAGTTTGCTTGATACCAAACCTCCAAACCTTGTTAAGATCTACAAAGAATAGTTGCGGTGGTATAGGACGGATGGAATTAGTAGGAAATCTATTGTAATGTAATGGAATTCTATGAGTAATAATTACATAATTTTTTGACCGATAAAATTTTTTTGATTTCTTATTAGAACCATTAAATTTTTCAAGTTTTATTAAATATCTTACTAAATGCTGCAATGTTAAACGAAGTGAAGTTATTTAAATTTCATTACGTTTGTTTTTCATAATCTCATTTCTATGTTCACTATTATAATGTATTACAAATAGCAGAACTCATACAGACATTGCTATTATATTCATGCAATGAATTGAATAATGATTCTTTATAGGTTGTAGTTATCGCTTTAACTATTGGACTTTTTCTTGTCGCTCTGTACGATGTACTTTTTTCACGTCGAATGGGCGGAGATCCCACAATGGTTGTTGACACTTCTTCACCGGCCAACGCCACGACATATAACAATCCTGGTTACAAAGAGTCACGTTCAAGGAACGGTAAAAGTTACTATTAAAATTATTTTCGCAAGATCAAAAAAACTTGTTTGTATACACTGTAGGTGTTTCGGTAACTGATGCATCTGGCAGGCCTTATAGCGGTATACGTAATGGAGGAAGTGTGGCATCTATGTCTACTACAATGACCAGCGTATCAAATGGTTCAACAGTGGAATCATTAACACGTTCTCCGCTTCGCTCCAGTTTAAAGAAACCTCGCCCACCTCGTGACCCTGCGTTAGGTATTCCAAACCCTGGCTTTTCAGGATCGGGGAGCTCGCCGCCTATGCACCGTAGTAGTAGTGTGAAAAAAGTTCGCATTCAAACACATAGCACAGAAGTGTGAGGTTTGTTCAGAAATGAATATTGTAGGCTAAAAAATGACAAAATTTCGGAAAACTGGATACCAAGCAGAATGGTATTATGACACTTTATTAGGATGTGTATTGTGTACAGAAAAAATGTTGTACGGGGTCAGACACATACAGTACATATATGTCAATAAGGCATATCCATTGTAGCCAAACTCATAAGCATTAATATAGAAATAATATATAGCTGATATTTCAACTTAATAATGAGGGTACTCATGTAAATCGATAAATTTACGAAACATACAAGTTTAAGTATTTAATTCAATTACACTAAATAATTTTTCTCCAAATTTATCATTCCAATAATAAACTTAACACTAAAATGTCTAGAATGAACTAGAGGCAAGACGATTGCAATCAATCGGTGGTGTCATTATACTCAAAATAACATTTTCATGCTTTTCATTTGTAAAGGGAAACATTGTTTTTTAATTTATTTTCGTAGTTGTTTATCCCTTGACATAAAGCCACCTCGTACAAGAGTAAATGTTGAAATACGGAATGCATTGGTAAATTCATAGTAGTATTAACATAATCAAATCGGTGAAGAAATTTCTCATATTATTATATATTTAATTTGACAGCTGTTTTAAGAGTTGGAACTTTAAATTAATTCTCTTAATATTTTAGATCTCGTTAAAAAAGTAGTTCAAAACGAAAAAATTTTTTAACGCTTTGTGCAAAATGGACACATCCGTCTAATAGTCTTCCATATGGAGTTAAATTTTAACTTAATTATTTCCTGTCCAATTTTCTAAATTCGCAAAATCGGAATCATGGGAAATAGTAGTTGTATAAATAATACTTCAATTTTGAATAATGTAAACATATCAATCGTTAGACGCTGGTTAGTTATTATGGCCAATTTAATAGCATGTACGTATTCAATATTCGCACCAAACATCATTTATACATTTGTTCATTGCTTGAAAAAAATTAAAGTGAAACCAAAGACGATAAAGTGGCAAGATAAAAACTACAGTCTAGCTGTTGGAAAATCCAGGACTTTGGGCTTGAATAGACTTTGAGAGCGTAGCTTGGTCCCCCACTTAACTATAGTCGATTCAAAAAAGCTCCCGGAAATTTTGAAAACTTCAAAATTTTTGATTAAGAAGAATATTGAAATTTAAAGTCAAAAACAATTAGTTTAAACAAAGTAGGAACGAATATTATAAAGTTGTTATTTTTAAATATTCTTTTTTTTCAATAACGGTAACTTTTAAGCTATATGATGTGAAATACCAATTGCGGTGGATATTTCGAAGGAACTAAAGAAAAGTTAAAGGCAATTTTATTATTAAATTTTTATGTTTTGTTTAAACACAATAATCTTAAGTAAGTTTCGAATAAGTTTAATACCTCGAAATATTTGAGCAACTATTCTTAGTTTTTTTACAATTTATCATAAAACAGCAATTTAGTTTAGCTAAAACCTCCAGGTTTTGCAAGCCACTAATGATTTAAAATCTCAGTTTTTTGTCGATTAACTTGAAATATAACTGTTTTTAGTTACCTAACATTTTATTTCGAAAAAAGTTTTTTAGAAATCAAATTTATTTACAAAATATTAATATTAATATATAATATAATATTGAATTCAATTCCCATCGCATTTTCGTTAGGGTGCATGTTCAAATGCGCATTTACATTACATTTTGAAAACAATTCTTTCAATGCATTGAAGATTTAAACATTTACAAAACTATATGACACATATATCTAAATGCAAATATTTTCATTAAATGTTAACAAATTTCACATACATATGCATATTATCAGATAAAACAGATCACAATAATTGTAAATCACAAAAAAAAAATTATGCTTTACGCACCACCGCAATCTGCGAACTTACACATTTGCACAAATTATAAAATAAATTAAATGAGGCTGTGTTTTATTACATTCACCAGCCGTACTAAGGTATTCGTAGACTAACGGAATCCAATTTTTGAAAATTTTCACACATTTTATTGTGCTGTAAAAGTGATAAAACATTAAGAATATCTTAATACTAAGGAAAACTAAGTAAAATGCTTTACTGCATAATTTCCTTACAAAAGCAGAATATATTGAAAAATATTCCGTCCATTTATACTTTGTAAAAATTGATACGTTAAGAAATTTTTAAGTAAAATAACTGCACATGTTTCCATCTCCTTTTGGTATGGTAACTAGTATAACTATAAAATAATCGCAAATCATGTGTATATCTATACTTAGGTACGAAAAAGTAAAATAAAATCTTTAATCACGAAAGAGTAGAAAGAAGGGCTATATTTATTTTTGTATACATTTTATTATACTTAACTGCACTATATGTTAATGTCATGTTATTTGTTACCGTTTGAACATTAAAATACAAATTATATATTTTAGTTTGCAATATTTGATTTATATACATATCTATGTATATATACATATATAAGTAGAAGATGAAATACAATTCTTTAAAAACAGTGCATATTTTTTACACATATTTTATGCATACATAGTTTTTATATTAAAATGTATAAGCAGCAGCAAGTTGAAAAATATAAATATAGTTTACAAAAAATAATAGATGAATAAATTACAAAAGTGGTTTTTATAGAGGGATTATCTTATATGCTAAAAGTGGGGAATAGCTTTGCTATTTGATTTTTATTTTTATTTATTTATTCCTATTGATTGTTATATTCGGTAAAATTGCCAATCAAGCAGGTGAGTAAGTACTGCAAGTCAAGTATCGGTTAAATCATTCATTAATTGCCGGAGAGCGATATCAGAGTGTTTGTTAAAGTTTCTTAAAGTCATAAACTATCAGAAATTACCTTCATCGCTTCATCCCTTTCTTTCGCAAAGGGCTAACGAGCTTCTACGTGTATATGTGTTAGTTTCAGCTAATTATTTCAATGTAGAATAATTATGACTTAAAATATTTCAAATAATTGGGCATCTCGATATACAATTGATATTCTCTCGAAAACCTTATTGCGGTCAATATTGCCAATGGAGACTGATATAGCTATCATTAACCATATTTATCTACATAATTTAACTAATATCTGGTAAAAATCGTTTGGCAGCTTGACAATCCGATTTACATTTCTACAAAAAAAGTTTAATCTAGATGACAGGCATTTTTACATTTCCTCTTATATTATTAAAGCATAAATTTAAACGAATTGAGTATCGAGATTGTACATGCAATAGGCAAATATTGACACCTTTTGCATTCAAATTTGACAGTTCTTATCAAAAAGACAATATACTCGTATTGTCAAAACGCGAAGTTACAAAAAGTGAATACAGAAACCACTTTCGTGTAAAATTGATGTTGGCAATGTCACTAAAGCACTTGTCATTCTTTAGCTGCCATATTGGAATTCTTATAGGAGAATATTACTATTACTACACGTCGATAAATTACGAAGTGAGAGTATATCATTTAAGTTCTAATAAAATTAATTGACTGAAAACCTAAAAGTATTAGAATAATACAATTAGCGTGTTGAAAGATTTCTTATAAAAATATATCAATCTACACAAACAGCCTGCTACAATGGGTTTAACAATTTCTAGTTTGCTGACACGTCTTTTCGGAAAGAAGCAAATGCGTATTTTGATGGGTAAGCTATGAATATTTTGTTGTATTTATATATACATACAAAAATATGAAAACCTTTCATGAAATCTTCGAGAGATTCATCCATGTAACACCATTCTATTCTAAACTTAATAGTTTTAATCACGCATATATATTTATAAATTGTATATACATATATTTTCTGTGTATATACAGTTGGTTTAGATGCTGCTGGTAAAACCACCATTCTATATAAATTAAAACTCGGGGAGATTGTCACGACCATTCCAACTATTGGTTTCAACGTAGAGACCGTCGAATATAAAAATATATGTTTCACGGTGTGGGACGTCGGCGGTCAAGACAAAATCAGGCCACTATGGCGCCATTACTTCCAAAACACACAAGGTCTAATATTTGTGGTGGACTCAAATGATCGTGACCGAATAAATGAAGCTGAAAAAGAGCTACAGAACATGGTTCGTGTTTCTTTATATACAAACATAAATATACATATATACCTTAAGATTTTTTACATTTATTCTTACAGTTGCAAGAAGATGAACTTCGTGATGCTGTACTGCTTGTATTCGCTAATAAGCAGGATTTACCAAATGCTATGAGTGCTGCTGAATTGACCGACAAATTGAGACTTAATCAACTTCGAAATCGTCATGTAAGCTCCATTTCACTCACAATGCTTTAATATAATGAACAAATATTTGTTTTTTTTGCAGTGGTATATTCAAGCAGCGTGTGCTACTCAGGGCAATGGGCTCTATGAAGGTCTTGACTGGTTATCTGCGGAACTAGCTAAAAAATGATAAACAAGTGCCCTAAAATGTTTTTATTTATTAAATATTACGTGATTTCAACTGATATAAGGGTATAAAGCGAAAACAACTTGTTTGGGATGCATTCTTAATAATTTTATAAATATTAAAACCAAATGTATTAGATTGTAAACATTCTATAATAAAAATACATTCGCTTCAAATTAATTGTATTGAAAAGCAAATAAGGTCGGGAATCAAGATAATACAGCTATACACTTCTATTGTACATCAAAAAAGTTTATATTTTATTTATCATAGTTTTTCGTATATTTTTATTACTAACTTCTTATGTATTATAATAATAATAATCAAAAATTCAATTTTATATCAAAAGTTTTTGTAAATGAGGTTTATGGAAATTTTGTTTTTTTTACTATTTTTTTGAACTATAATTTTCATAGTCTTATAAAAAAATAAGCAGAACTACATTTTTTTTTATGATTTACAAAACTTTTTTGTAAACATCATTTATTGTTACGAGCAACAGAAATGTGCGGTGCAACGCCCGTTTGTCTCTAACATTAGCTTCTAACAGAAGTAATGAAGTACAATAGATTTTTTTGGCTATTTTACAATAGTTATGCTAACAAAACGGTATTACCATTTGCAGAATGACTTACGGGTTAGATATCTCGAGCATTACGTCGGAACCTTAAACCAAAATCTGGATGATTGTCTTTTATTACCATTTGTATTACCTCTGAGGATATCAATAATACCAACTTTCACAAAGAGACTAAGTCTTTGTCCTGCCAATGATGGTTATTGCGATCTATACTCATGAAAGCACTAACATGAATAACAATGCAAGCTTGTTATAACAATAATGACAACAACCATAGCTACATATTTCCTTTACGGCACAAGATATTTCATTTATTGACATGTAAAAGTCTTACCCAGTTGATACTATCCATTTTAAGAGTCAAAATAAGCACTGTTAATTGCATATATAATATTATATATCGAGAATTTGATTTGAGCAACCTAATGTCCATTTATGTTTGTATCAATATATGAATATTACATACATATGTACATATTTAAATAAATTATTTATCTTAAAAATTCACAGCTCTTCTCATTTAGTGAGTGATTTAATAAAAGTTACTAAAATGCTCACATGTGGATTGCCTACGGTGAATATTAATAAATAATAAAATAAAATGGCAATGCAATAAAGTTAATAAAGTGAAATTACATTTTTTAAATAACCAATATACTTATGTACGCATATACATGAAAATATACATTTATACATACATACATATGCAGTTAACAAGTACATACATATTTACATTTGCCCACATTGAAGTATTTTACTTCTTCATACATACATACATATGTATATTTATATATAAAACGATGCGCATATATGTATGTACATAGACCTAAAATGTTCATTTGAAAGTACATACTTTAAAATTGGACTCAGAAATTTTATTGAAATTTTGCCGATATGCCAAAATTGACATACATAATGTATGTGTTTTTTTATTTCAATTATGAACTTTCCCATAATTTTCCAGCTCATTCTTTATTGAATTAGTCGTCACCGTTCTCAAATATAATAAACAAAGTAAAAGCTTTAGCATTGAACTATGTTGAAGTTTTAACTGAGTCCAGCTGTTCTCTCCGTCTCAAAATATTTCCATTTCCCTTTTCAAATATTTGTCAATGAAACTTATGACATGTACTATTATGGCATTCAGTTTTAAAAATTTTCACATAATTTAAATTTGTTACAAATTTTGTATTGGCTATTCCTATTATTAAATATGTATGTACATACACATGCAAATAAAGATACTTACGTTTACATACATATATATGTATATATCATATATATATACCTGCTTAATATTGGTATTCAAAGTATCGCCATATACCATTGGGGGTTTTGTTAACACAGATGTGTATATATTGGCATTTATCTAGTGCATGCAACAATGTTCATCAATTCAGTATATTCTTGTGCATTGTCAATTTGTTAAAACAATTAAATTACTTTTAATACTTCAATTAAATCTACAAATCATCTTTTGAAACTTCTATTTAATATACCATAATTCTTATAAGTTATTAAATATGGATTAAAAGTGAAATTACTTTGAGATAACTCTCAATATTTCTGCTTATTTATGTCTAGGTATGTTTATTAATTAATTCTAAAAAAACAACAATAATGACAACATTTTTCATTTTCAAATGAAAGTGCTAAAATTAATTAACTGGCCTTTTCCTTTAATGTGTTTAAATTTGATTAAATTATGACTAAAATAAACATGCCGATCTTTTCAAACAGTTTCAGTGGTAACATTGACCCATATTATAACATCTGAATTCAATGCACGCTTTAAAGTCTAAAACTCTGTTTGCCTATAAGCAAATACACTATTTAATAATAATACAATATTATACATAATTAATTTAATACATAAAAACATTTATGTATTTTCTATTAATGTATCTTTTTAAGCAAATTTTCAACCTAAAACTTTGTATGTCTTAATATGTATTTTTGTAACAATCAACAATACAATATATGTTCCTATGATAAGAAAAGAAAAACAAAATAAATGTACCATATACAGGTACACATACTTGCAATCACTTGTGTGTCCGTACGTATATAGATTTGTAAACATATGTGTTACTTACATATTATATATGTACATACATACATTGTGTATGAGGCGTATTTTATAATTTTCTGATACACAAGCTGTAGTACTTTCATTTTTGTTCTATTATAGAATACATTCGTAGGTAATATAAATAAAGTTTGTGTGTTTGCCATTTTATCATGCCAAGTCTATGTCCAAGGAATCAGGCGATAATAGCATAGGATCATTTGTAGCTGATGAGACTAGTGAAAGAGAATCACTCATCATTGCACTAGATAAATCATCAGAAGCGTGTGATGCACCAACATGATGTTCGTCGTCATGCAGATGATTATGATGCTGAAGAGATGATGACTCCAAACCGTTAAGATTTTGGTCCACGTGTTGGTGGTGCGAGGAAGATAACAAGGGATCTCGGCCGTGTTGCAAAGTCGATGGTGACTTGGAGAGGCAACCGATATCGTTGTTATTGCCCATGGCCGACATTTGATGTTGCGAGTGAGATAAGTAGGGATTGTTATCGCAGCAATGTTTAATTTCTTGCTGCGAGTGCTGTTGTTGTTGGTGGGGTTGTTGTTGACGGTTATGGTTATGATTGGTTTGATGACAATTTGTCGTTAGGCAGCATACTGAATTACCCATATTTTTCCTATTGCTGCTGCAACAGTTATTATTTATATGTGTCCCTGTTGACGCTGACGAAGTAACGGTGTTTTGATAGAGGTCCTCTAGTGAGTTCGCATTATTCTGGCAGTTGGGATTATGACACTCGTGGCCATTGTCAACAATACAATCATGACCATCGAAGCTATTGCAACATTGCAGATGCGCTGCTGTTGGCGAATGTGCTTCTGAGAAGAAGTGATTAATGTTTGAGGACAACAACGGATCACCGCATTGCACAGGATGCTTGCTGTCTTCCATAAGGTCATCTATTGGAGTAATACTGAGGTTGGCTTCACTTGTTATAACAGATAACTAAAATAAAGATTATTATGAGTATAACATATTCCTATCAAACTAGCAAAAAAACAAAAACATTTTAGGCACTACTTACTTTTTCTACCATATCTGGAATTAATGATGTTGAATGATTATTATGTGACAATGGTGAAGCAGGACTGGTTCCTTTGAGGAAAGATGCTGGTGCTGGTGCTGACACTGATGTTAAATTAAAGTCACTTAATGGTATTCCGTGCGACTTAGCTTGCATTTCCAATTCCTTTTAAATGAAATTAAAACTGATATTGAGATGGAATATATAAATTATTTTATTAATATACCTTTATTCTATTTAAAAGCTTTCGATTTTGCATTTCCATTTGACGTTGGCGTAGCTCATTTTGTTTTAGCCGCGATACTTCATGTTTAAGACATTTGATGTAATCGACAGACGATTTAAGTATTGTGCCCTTGTTTGGACGAATGTCACGTACGACTTCGTAGTATGGATCGTTTGTTTTTGGTAGTAACGTGCCCAGTTCTTTAATGCGGTCGTTTATGTTAAAACGTCTTCTGCGCTCAACTATAAATTAAGTTAAATATTTAGCTACAATTTAATATAAATGATTTGTTATCTCAACCTGCTATATCGCTCATGAAATTAAATGAAATAAATACAGGGTTTACTTTTAACTGTGCTTAAAGCAGTATCATTAAATTGAATTCAATATTTAATATTGAGAAAGTTTTTGGGTTTTTTGCGATTTCATTTGTAATAAATTCTGAATATTAAGTTGAATACTCAACGTAAAAGTAAATATTTTAGTAAATGTAAGTTCTTAACAAGTGATCATGGGAACTGTGTATGTTTTTGTTTTGCTTTTGAAATCATATCTTGAGACCGTTTTGATATTTTCTGCAGTAAATGATGAACTTGATGTTTTATAAAATGTTTTCAAATTAAAAATATGAGAGCAAAGCATAAAATATTTTTAATTTACACTAAATTATACAATAGTTTTGTAAACTATTTTAACGCCTTAAATTCAAATAGGTATAATTGTAAATAATTGTACTTATGTATACACATATGCATTTATTATTAATTTACTTCGGCGAAAGTACCAATCACTTGACTATTTTTACTTACTCATATTATGGTTATCCTTTTTCTGTCGGTCCTTAACTAACGCATGCATTTCCGCATCAGTGAGGGATTGTGGTTCTTGTTTTATAGCCAAATCGGATGAAAAGTTATCAAATTTTAGATCTGCATCAAATAGGCAATCGTCCGCCTAGTAAAAACCAGATTTAAAATCAATTAACATAAAAGAAATACCATACAAATGTATAAACGCATATGAGCTAGATATGTATGTATAATATATATACAAGAGCCCCTTATATGTACGCATCCTAGTTTTTATGAAGTATGCAATATAGACATATAATTTATATCAATAAAATTTATATTTATGGGTACAGGTTTGTGTATATTAGTATTATTTAAATCATAATATTATATTGATTTTAATGAAAATTACCAGCACATTATTAGAAAGTCAGTCTGGTAAATAAAATATTTCATCCCAATAATAAGTCTACGTGTTAATCACTAAATATTATTGTTGGAATGTAATATAACTACTACCTTAGCAAACGAATCACGGATAGGAAAAGAGAGTTGAAAATCACAAGCAAATAATTTATTACGTAAGTATACAAATAAAGGTTTGTGTAAGGTATTACATATGTACGTATATATTTTTTGTTTTTGTATTGAAAAAGACAAGTTGGTCTTTTTTTGTTTTCAATCTGTCCTTTGCGATCAATTTTTATATTTTTAACTTTACATAGTTTTACAAAATACTAAAAATTTTCATTAAAGAATGTATATTAAAATATATGAATAATAGAAATTCAAACATTATGGATATGTATAACTCAAAAGCTTATTTGCTCTGATTTTGATTAAAAAACGTTCGGGCGTTTTTGAGCTTTTTGTTAAAATATTCTCTCTGAAATTTCCGGCGTGATGGGAAAAAATGTATGTGAAAAAACTACAGATATACCTTGACTCTTATTTCTAATATCAACTTTTTATTAACACCATCAGAGAGCTCAAAGCAATTTATAGCCTTATTCAGTCGTGCGTTTCATTATATCATACAGCACACGCAGCATTGAACAACTACTAATACATTGTGTACACAATATTATATGCTGCCTAACTATCACATTAGTATTAGATGTGTACATATATATATTTTCAGTATATACAAGCAAGAGTTAATATTCATACTCCTATTTATCGAATATTTATGAGTGAAGGATGCAATATTTTTTCACAGACAATAATGAAGTTCATTACATAATCACTGCCAAGGCTGGGCTAAGATTCTTCTCCCTTATGTTTGAATTTTGTAGAGAAACCCAATTTACATAATTTTTTGTTAAGAAATAATACACCCGTATTTAAGTTTAAAATTAAAACATTTATATTCTCAATAACTGATTGGAAAAAAGAACAATTGTGTAAAGTGTATGTTTCTTAACGATTACTCAGATTTAAAATACCCAAAAACATTGAGATAATAATTCGAGTTGATGTTAAGTCTTAAAACTCATTGCTATGACTAAGCACTTAAATAAATTTACTATAGATGGAAATAATATGGTATTTAATTCTGCAGTTCTAGTTTTAAAATTGCAGGATTACCTTTTTATTCATTGGTTGTATACTAGTTGTTATACAGCATGAAAAATTTTGACGCCGTTATTATCATTATACAAGTTTAAAAAACCGGTGATCGATATTAAATTGTTTATATAATATATTTGTTTATAATCCTAAGTATAGAAAGCAATAACTGTTCTTGGGGGTGTAGAATTTCAAATATTAAGGCATGTACAAGTATTATCACATTTCTAAAATATAAAATACGAACCATAGCATATAGCTTTAAATTGTGGCTTGAGTATTTCGCGTATTTGGACTATTCCTTCAAATTCCTGGATTTAGGTATACAAAATATAGATACGATTTTTATTTAAGAAAATTTACATTTACAAATTTGGGAGTGTGAAATTTTCTGTTTTGCGAGATAATTGCTTCTTTTGGTCTATATACCGACATAATACAGTTTTGGCACGTTTAATAGCAATTACAACTAGTACTCGCTAGCCATATCGTATATGCAAAATAACATTTATTTACTAAAGCAATTCACCATTTGATATGGATTTGATTAGGAAATATGTTAAATAAAAATGTCAATAAGCTGTTGAAAATTTTTCCGTAAAGGAATATCTTCTGGTTCGCCTAACGGATTATGAGAATTGAATGATTTTGTGAAAAAGTTAAATTTTAATTTACAGTAAAAAATTAAAAATCAATCAGCACACTAAAGTAAACCTTGACATAAAATACGAGTTCGCTTTGCAAACGGACAACAAATAGCGGGCAGAACGTGTATCATACGTGTTTGCGCACATTGCCAATGTCAGCTGCCTTTTTTCGTGACCCCTCTGTCTTCCCTCAACTTTTCACCACTTTGCTTACTTGCTACCCACCACAACCCACCAACATTCGATGATTGTTTGTTTTCATTGAGAAAAAAACCAAATTGTCAGTCGGAACGTATCGGACGCAACAGTATTTACGACTACAGCGCGACATATAAGCAACGACTTGTGAGCGTTCATCAGTACAATATCAATAAAATTTGCCGTAAAGTCAGCGTTCCTAAATTATTTACAGTGTTACCATTTTCTATGCAGGGCGGCTATATCGTATTACTTGAATGTATTTGTAGTAAATTAATGTGTATGTGTATATACATAAATATTTATACGCACATATGTACATATACGAGTATCACGTTTATATGCTCACATTCAAAATATTTTGTTCGTAAAAATTTTAGAAATAAGTATGAGATTTAACTCTTTACATATGTGTATAATAAACGAATTTATTATTGAAATAAGTAAATGTTTAGTTGTTCTTCTTTATAAAAAAATGTTGATTGAATTTTGTCGAATTGTTAATCTCAAGCCATCAAATATATGCATAAATATGCAGTTATGCATATATTAAATTGTTGTCATAAAAAAAATTTCATTATATATTTAACTACTAAAGCATTACTACAATATTAACTTTTTTTCAAATAATATCAAAATTTATAACTTTTTATTAAAGTATTAATGAAAAAAATAGACATATGAAAATATACATAAATTAAACAATAAGTACGTTAGAGAATTTCGGACAAAGAACATTATTATGAAAGTTTGTGACACAAAGCCTGATAAATTGTTATTCTTAATATATAGATGATCAGTGAGGAGGTAATTATTAGTCAAGAAATGTCGTAAATTGACATCATATAAAATGGTATAACTATGTTTTAGAACTTACATTGGTACAGAAGTTGACAACAGTGAGAGACATTAGTGGGTTTTTGAAAGTTGGCGTTCAAAACTACTAAGCATCGTGCTGCACGATTATTACCCAATATCCTTAAACTCCATGTAATGATTGTCGTTATTCTACTATAAAGTTACCCATGCCAACTATAATCCTTACAAAAAGATGGACTTAAATATTTTCTCAAGTTTAATACCAAAAGTAAACAAAATCTGTCCAGACATTCTTCCTATCCTAAATCGGTCAATATGGCTGGGAATCTGAAAGTAGTTCCCTGCCTTTGATCTTTGCAAATGCTGAGGAAAAAATTATTCTGCTGTAGAATTCCTTTCCTTTTTGAGTATTATATATTTCGGGCAGTATAGCAATAATTTCGGCACGACTTCGCCAATAAGCTGAGGATTGCTGGCCTACACTTTGCTTTTCAATTAACACCACTAAAAAGATTAGCGGTAGTCAAATTTAGATACCTGGATGACTATGCCATCTATTTTTGATATCAGACTTACTACTTAATTTTTGTTTACCATAATTACGACAACTATTTCAGGGTGTTGTTTTAGTATAAAGCTAGTCAGGGAGGGATAGATTCTAGTAGTTTGAAATTTTGAAAACATGAGTAACCAACTAAATCAGTTAGTAGATGTCAAAGTTATTTAGTGTTTTTATACCGACATTAAAAAATGTCACAATGGTGTAACGTTGGGAGTTAGGTATTTTTATTCATTCTTGGCGGATTTAGCGTTCACACCTTCTTTAACCGACTAAGGCTAATGGATTTCGAAAACAATCGGAGCTAGTTATAACTAGAGATCGAAAGACTCGAAATCAAATCGAATACATTATAAATAATGTCCTAAACGTGTGCACAGGTAAATAACTTAACATCAGCACGGATCCTGTTCAATATTATAGTGGATATAAATGGAGAGAGTCGTACATATTTGCTGAATGAAAAAGTATAACGACGAAATAAATGAGTGTGGCACTAAGCTATTAATACACAACTTCTTTGCTGTTGGGTGTTCGTTTATAAAAACGTATTTATCTTTTTACATCGGCACCCACTTAAGAAACTAAAAAAAGACTCCGTCTTTAAGTGTTTATGCTATACTTGTATGAACTAAAAGCGGAAACAGCGAAACCACTAACATTATACGAGTACGTATAGTTATTCTATTTATTTTTAATTGTGTTTTAAATACAATAGTTTCTTAATCCAAGAATTAATTCCAAAGTTTGGGATTAAGAATCTCGATAAAATTATCGTTGTTATACTTTCGATTTCATGTGTAAGTGTTGATTTACCATTATTCTAATTAACTACATTCTGTTTCACGGTTTTCTTAGTACAAATGATACATGGATAATTTAAGGATTAGGTAACCGTGCAAAATAGAGAACGCATAAAAATATACCTAATAAATGCAATATATGTATGTATGTTTCAAGTAGTATTAATTGTAATAATAACTTTAATAATAAAAGCGCTTAATTATATCCAACTGATGTAAATAAAAATAGTTGAGTGATAAGAATAGCACAAAAATGATAAATAGGTATGTACACAAATAATAAATTTATAAGTTTTAATTTTAGCACTTACATCACTGTCAAACAAGAGGAGCTGGAAACATATAAATTATTAATAAAGCATTATAGAAAATTATAGGTTCATATATAATTAAATCAAATTTTTATTGGATTTGTTATTATCTAGGGTTTACATATGTACCATTATTCGAAATGCTATGATAGCAAGAATATAAAATATAAGTTCAAAAATAATTGTTTAGGAACCGTTAGTATGGTAGTTTAGTGAATGCTGAAAACCAATCCGGAGCTTAGAGCTGAATTGATGTGCTTTTCAGTCCTAACTTACATTGAAGACGTATTGACAGTGGCCTAAAAAAATTCATGCGTCGGCTCTAATTTTAGCGTTCACTATACAAATAATATGTACATGAATATTAATAATTTAAAAACAAGTTCTCAATTTTACACCTAAGCCAGTTTTATTTTTATTTGAAATATGAAATTTGTTCAGAATAATAATTCAAAAACGTTAAAATGTTGATATCGTTATAATTAAAGTTGGGCAAAAAAGATTTTTTTTTTGTTTCTATTGGAGTTTTATATATATAATAGAAATTTCAAATTTCAATGTAATAAAGAACATTTTTTAACCTATTAAGATCAGAAAAGGATTATTATAGTCCAATTGTAAAAACCGTTTATAAATCAATTTATTTCATTTTACTGTATAATGGAAAACGTGGATAATCTATGTATGAGCAATTTTAATAACTCAGCTTTAAGAGCCTGAGGACCATCCACTGCGTATAAATCTCTATATATACAAACATACAAATGCTTAAGTTGAGCTGCAGGTTAGTATTATTTGATTGAAATAATATGTATGCTTTATTTGGATTTCACCAGTATAGATACATATATATCTGTATACAGAGTGAGTAGTACATATTATTTTAGTACATTTATTAGCCAAAGTTGTTTTGAGTATCACAACAGGTTAATATACATATATATAATTATAAAACAACTTTTTACAACTTGATCAATTAAACCCCGTTCAGTTTTTGGAATCGAAGGATACAATGAACTTTACTGGTTTTCGCCTTGACTACACATTCTGAATATTAATTTCCGAGTATTATTTTATATATAAGGTTAAAATTTTCTCAACACCTTTTTAACGATTATTTGACTTTTGTTTATTGATTTTTTTTTATTATTAAGTTCATACAAACTGGGTTTTTTAGGTTTCTTAGTTCATAAAACTAAATTTCAATGAGAAAATTATGGATATGTATAATGATATCGTTTATCATCCTTTTAATATGTACATATGTATACACATACACATACACCAATATATGAAAAGTATGAACGTATGTATGCCAATAAAAATAAACAATACATTTTTCTGGTCGATCTACATTCCTTTTGACTGTGTTTGTTCGGACGTATGTATATATAGTCTTATCTTATTTGATAATATATAGGTATAAAAGAAGGACAGAAATTAAAAAACATACTCTTTCACTCTTTAAGTAATGACATAAGATTGGGTCAGATGCCTAATGCAGCATAATTTATGTAATGTAATCCTTAAATTCCAATTTGAATTTTTTAGTAAAAAACTTGTCTCTCGCCTAGTAGTGTAAGAACCTTCGATTGCTTTCCTAAGTAAAAACATAAGTAAGTCTCTCTACAAATAGATCTTATAGCAACTTCACTTATTGGAGCATGCGCCCATTTATGCGTAAGCAAAGTACTTACTATTCCCCTAAGGTGAATATGAGATTTTCATTTATACATGTATACTAATACCAATAGTCTTACCAGTATTGATAAGAAATTCGCAACCTGTACTCACTTAACAAAGTTAGAGATAAGATTGATCGGATAATCGTTGCTAACATAAAACAAAACTTATCACATGTACATATATTGCAAGCGTGTGAGCTCTTCAATGAAATTAGTGAAATCGGCCTTTATATGAGAAACTAATTTACTTTAATTATTTGCACGTAAATCAAATGATACGTATTTTCCACTCGACAAAATTCTGAACAAGTTTCTGCAATAGTTTTTCTGGAATATATGTATATAATTATATGTTCAAGTTATTTGTAGAGAGTTTATGTAAAGAATAAATAGCGAGAGAGCAGAACACAACGTTTTTATTATTTACACAGCTTTTTTAACAATACTTATGAAATACAACTTTTTAACTCGACTTTGACGGCTTGTTTTAAATATATACATTATTTTGAGTACTGAACATTTAATATATTGTATAATGATAATACACATATCAGTTCAATATTTAAAAATTAAGCACAAACATGGCCCAAACTGGGGCTTACGGCACTTACTAATTAAGAATTTAGTAAATTATTTAAAAGTTAAAAAAGTAAGTTACTGTGGTATATTTATTAATTTTAGAAATCTTACTTACAAAATATGACAGGGCATTCTCATTAGCTATTTCAAAAAAATGTATAGTAAACAATAGAAGTATTAAGTACTTAGTTAGAGTACATAGATAGTTCTCCTCTATATATGTAGCTAGTTACCTCCCCTAAAATCTTAGCGACACATATAAATGTTTGCACGGACGCACAAAAATATACCACTCAATGTTTAGGCTTATCATAATTGAATTTTATTTAGTTATCGGTGCTGGGTCTTCTGTTGTTTAGTTGATAAACACCCATGTGTAAAAAGACTTAAAATGCTCATCGATCAGAAAAAACTTCCTTTTAAGAAGTTTTTGTTACAATTTATTGTTAATCAATTATCGAAAGGTTTTTTTTTGATTTATCAGTCAATTTTTTATTAAATATATCAACTTATAAGAAGCTCTTTAACTGTTCACGTGGAAAGCATATACATATGGAATTTATACACCTACGTTTCTATATGAACGTAATTCGACACATTATGTTCACAGTTTTTTGGCTTAGATAATACGAGTATATTACTTTAATTTTAATTTACTTTACATATACATATATATAGATATATACTTTTTATGTAAAACATTATATGGTAGCCTCCCATGTGCTCAGTTTTATCTTTTGTCATTTTCAACATTGGCTTTATAATCTTATCAAAAGCGACAGATAAATATGCCAAGTAGTGATTACATTAAATAACATCAACCCGCTGAAGTTGCATTTACTCTCCAAGAAAGGTATTAAAGATAATTTTTTCTTAAATTTTCAAAAAGCATTCTTCTTGTTTTGACTTCAGAAAATAGTTGGCTTTTTGTGAGAACTTAATTTATTATTGTAAATATACTTGTATGTATGTATGTTAATTATAATGAGAGTGGTTGGGAAAAAATAAATGTGACGAGAATTTAATTTTGTATATGTATTTTGCATCTAACGAGCCAAAAAATTAAATTAATGAGGAATTCTATTCTAAGTACGAAATTTTGCCAGTTTCCACCAATATGTATCAAGAATTTATATATAATATTAAAAAGTGTAAATACATACATCTATATGTATTTTCTCAGATATGCTTAATCAGCAGATTAGAAGTAATAAAGCTGTAATAATATATATGTGTTTACATTAGAGCGGGTTGATTCACAGGGAGCCAAAAAAAAAGAGGAAAAATCGCGTATGTGGGAAATGTTCTACGGATCATTCTGAACACCTTTGCCTAAGAAAATATGGGTCTAAGACCGGTTTCGAGACAGCGATTAAGTGAAGTTTTTTTTCGGGATTATAAAAATTTCTTTGGCAGTTTTTGAGATATCCGAATGAATATTACTACATAGGTGGATTTTGGGTTCTACTGATCGTTTGTCGGAATCGGCCAGATCGGGCAACTATATCACGTATCTCCCATACAACCGATTCTTCAGTTATTTTACTTCCCGGCTGCCTGCCTTTAATTAAAAAGCTAAGAGCTTCTAAATTTGCAGAATTGTTCTCTAGCATATACTTAATAACGACAGTGAAAATAAAGAAAATCGACTGTATGGAAGATATGTATGTAGTTGTCCGATCTGGCCAATTCCGACAAATGTTCAATAGAACTCAAAATGCAACTAAGTTTTGAATTTCAATGGAAAATAGCAAATACAGATGAAGAAATTTTTACAATTCAGAAAACAAACTTCAATTAAAAAATCACTGGCTCGAAAACGTTGTTAGACCCATGTTCTCTTAGGCAAAGATGTTCAGAATGATTCGTATAACATTTTCCGCAAGCGCGATTTTTAGAAAAACAAATCGACTCGATCTAATATAAATACTATATGTATAACCAATTTTTGTATTTGTAAGCAACACTCACACAATGTAAAAATTTAATAAGATTAGTGTTATCCCAGAAGTAGCAGACCGATAAAAATAAAATGGTTTCGCTTTATAATATCAACTTAAAATGTCAAATATTTGAATAAATTATGCTACAATATATTGTAGAATGAAAGGGTTATTATGTATTCAACTGCAGTCACTACATCAGAATGTATGAATATATTCCACAAATTATCGGATGGTTATATTGAAATAGGTAAAATCAATTAGTTAAAGTTCTCAATGCATACATATGTTCCATATTCGTCAGATGTAATATTATTTTCCCTTTTTAATTAAAACATTCTCGGAAAGTAATTTACCAACATTTGAGAAGCGTTCTCTTATCCGTTCACTTGCATATACTTGTTCGTATATAGTATCAATACACATTTATAACAGTACATTTGTACATATACACAAAATCATATATTCATATATATGGAGAATATGTATCTATTTAAAATATTATAAATATTTTGTCTTTAGATAAATTAAAAAAAAAAAAGATCATAAAGTTATAAAAATTATTATTTTTCCTCTATTTTATATTTGATACATTGAATGACAGCAATAACGTCTTTGAATACAAAAAAGTGTATATGCGTGTGTGGAGCATTTCAATTTAATATTATTTATTTGAGTAATTCATTTATATGTATACGTACACGCATATGTATGTTGAATAACTTTTGCAAGGGTGGGGAGAGCCCAATTAAAAGAAATTACAAAATCGTCTAAGAACCAGAATGTACATTCAATTGATCCAGTATTTCAAAACTTTCGCGCTTCAACACATTTGTACATATGAACTTGTGTATAAATACATATTTACGTATGTAGATATCCAATAACACAATACATACAAACGTGGGGTATTTTGAATTTTAACACAGTTAATCTCGTAATAAGTAGTAGTGTAAATATAATTTAAGTATATATAATTGAATATGATTATCGTTTTTAAGAAAAAAAAAACCGCATAAATATTTTAACGAAAAATCTATAATGTAGTACTAGCATGTTGAAACCAGTTTTGTGAATAAGTGTCGCAAGCGCAAATCGCTATAGACCCTTCGGTAGTTACATTAGAAATCAGTTGCGAGCAATCAATCAGTATGATAAGCAACAACCAAGGCATGTTTGTACATTCGAGCGTTCGTATAGACTTCACCATCAAAATAATGAATGTGCATATGTATACACTTATTATATACACCTTTGAATAAATATATGCATGCTCAAATATTTGTAATAAGATATTTACGCGAATTTTTCTTTTGGTACACTCACCTTCGTTTTGCGCCGTGTTATTACATTAAATACCGGCATTTTGGTACGTCTTTGGGTTTTTTTTTGGGTTGGGGTAGATCTGTGGCGTTTTTTCGACAGTTTGGCGGACTTTTATTTTCCCTCGTAAATAAGTTTAAATATAATATATGTAGATGATCAGGTACTTATGAAGATTTTTTACACTTTCTTACTTTGAAAATTGCTTTGTGTTTATTTTTAAACACTATTCGTTTAGTTATTTATTCACTTGTCGTTAGTTACTGGCATGAAATTGAATCGTCTAATGTGGTGTCAATAATTACATTATATATGTGGAGAGTTGTAAGCACAGAAATGAATTTATAACGAAATTCGTTCACACTTGTTTCAATTTTCAAACAAGCGTACTTCTCCACTGTATTCTAATAATACTTCATTCAAATTGCTAAATACTGCCGTATAATGAGATCCGATCGAAGCGTGTGATTGTGTAAAACAATTAAGTACAGGTTTTATGCGAACTTATTATTATTTTGTATTTATTTAAATTTTGTGAATATAATGAATTAGTCATAATTACGTTTTGCACTTCGTTAAGTTCAAAATTTATGTATAGATCTTAGAACTCTCGAAGGTCGGAAAGCATTCATCTTTATATTTCTATTATGCAAAAGCTATATATATAAAGTTTGTCAGTTGACAGCTCCACAAATGTTCGTAATATTTTTTTATAAATATCGATATACAATAAGTACTAAAAATTATTATCCTCTTAATTTAAAGGAATTGTATTATTATTTCTCCAAATCCGGCGTTTCAACTGGTTCTTGAATTATATGGTACTCAACGTAGTTTCACACTTATTTGTTTGTTAATTAAAAATATTGAATTCTCACATTTCCTCTCTACAATTCTATGATAGTAGTTTTCTACATTTATATAACATTCAATTCATATGCAATACGAAAATTATAAATTAAATAAACAAAGCAAGTTACTGGCCCACCGAGCGGTTCAAAAATTAAAATATATGCTATAATAATCTACACTCCAGTTGGAGCAAAGCAGTTAAGTAGAAGTTCGAATCTCTACTAAGTCATCGAGTTCGTTTTTGTTGAGCGAAATGCGTTTTACCACTACTATCAAACGATCGAGGTGATTATAAATTTGAAACGTTCAACGCAGTTTCCATTTCGTTTCGTTTATGTGGTGTATTATTATACAACTGTGTATAGTAACTCCGATCCCGAAATGTTTAATTACGGGATTTTGTTGAATATTAGGCAAAGAACATTTAAGTAAATTTTACAATTTAAGTAACTATCAGCGATTGCATATGTCTAAATTTAATTGTAATAATAGTATTTTTGAATCCTTGACAACTGCCAGCAGTTAACAATACTAAACACTTATTTAAAAAATTCAATGATATTCCTTACATGACCTATATATGTATATGTATATGTAAGTATACATATTAAATACACACATAAGTATGTATGTGTATTTGTTAATATATATATGTATGTATATTAATATTTAAAAAAACGGGTATAATTGCAATAGATATCAGTCAAAACGTAATCCCTTTCTAGCACATACACAATTATGGTTTCCTTTATCACTCTTCATTGAAAGTGATTAATTGAACAGATTATTGCTGATTTAAAATACTTATATTCATTGGTGTTGACACATGAATGTCTTGAACTTTTTTTATAAAAATTAACTCACGCATTGATTCATGGAGTGCAGGGGCTTTATAAAGCACACAAGCTATAGAAATTATTGTTACTACGTATTTAATTAACCACTTTACCAGGGTATTGAATATTTATAAAAAATCGATTAAGACAGTAAGTATACAAATCAAATATCTCACTTATTTCATTAAGCGAGAGTGTCGATCATTTTGCTGGAAATTATTAATTTTTTTTATTTTTCAGTGCTATATCTTTCAATAGACTAATGACATACGCAGTCAGGTATGTTTTGTTTGCTGAAGAATAAACGAAAACTATAGCATACGTTAATTTAGAGAAAATGAGTCGATATGCTTTCAAAGAGCAATATGGATGAATTTTTTTGCGGCATATTCTATACAATTTTGATATCTGCTGAAAATAAAACCGGAGTAATCATCGATATACATATATGGAAGCAGCCACAAATATAATATTAATACGAGTAAACGTAGTTTAAAATGACATTATTTGGAATGAATGTTACCAGGAAGCACCGTAATCATAGGAAGATGAAATGAATTTCGACAAGTTCTATAATTATACATACATATATAGTACATATGCGGTGGAAAAATTGCAAAAGACTCATTACATGTAATAAAGAATCACAGTAGACTATGCTATGGAGACTTACTTCAGATGCACTTGTTGCTACGGAACTTAAAGGTGACATTGGTGCTGATTGGACTGGGCTAGCCGTGGATACATTAGAACAATTTGCATTTCTTAGTGAATTTACTGGTCCAGATGAACGTCCCCCAAGAGATAAACCATTTGTTACACCCATTACGCTATTCTTGCCACCGTTTAAACTTGAGGAATTACCGCCAATTGAATTTTTGTACGCGCTATCACCTCCAACACTTTTCACCGAACTTTGGTCATTTGGAAGAAAAAATAGACAACTGCCAGCAGTTGTCATATTATTACCGGTACCGTCTACACCATAAGAAGAGGGTGATAATTGCATATGATCATCGAGAATGGGTGTTACTGCATTCGAAGTGAGTTGTAATTGTGGAGAATGTCTAGTGCTTATGTCTGTTCCTCCATTGGATCCACCAAAATTTGAAATATTAATAAAATTAGGAGATTGATTGGATTCACGATTTATATTTGGCATTGCTGTGGGGTTGGGTATACTTTTGTTCTGAAAAAAAAATATTATAAATCAAAAACACAAATTTCAAACAATGTATTTTGTGCAAAAATTTACCTCCCATTCATTTTTAAAGGACTCGCTTAAATATTGTCGAACTTGATTTTTCTGCTTTTGAATGACATGGTAACGGGTGGGATTTTCTAAAACTGTCCGTACCTGCAAATACATTTAATATATACATATTTAAAAGTCTGCAACTACACCAGTGGAGCAACCAAAACTTAAAAAAATGATTTGTGAAATAGTGATATCTTGACACTAACCTGTAAAACTTGTTTTGGAACATCAACACCGATACTTTGAAGAGGCCCCTTTAACATAACCGGACTAGAACTTGCTCCAGAAGAAGTTGCTGACGGAGGATTAGTAAAGTAATTTTGTTGGTTCCCTTGAACATCATTGAAATTTGTTCCAAAACTGTTGGGCGCTTGTCTATAACCTCCACAAGTGTTACTATTACCCATCATATGTTGGGTATGCAATTGATGGCTATTGTTTAAATTTGGTATCTGCTGTGTTATATAAGATTCCACTTGCTGTTGTAATGCAGCAACTTCAGCTGCAGCCGTAGCTCTTTTTTCTGCCTCACGACGCTCCAACTCTTGCTGCTGCTGCTCACGTTGCAATTGTTGCTTAAGTTGAGTACGAGATTTTGGAACAGTAGTTTTGAATGTAGGGCTAAAAATAAAAATAAATTTCTAACACTTAGTCTTACTTATTGTCAAACTTGAACTAATAAAATAATATTTGAATTAAATTCTGTCATTAAATAATAATTTTTTTGATTGTGATGCTTGTTTTACCCACCCCCCTGTTGACGGCGGTAAGCCAATAACTTTTGGTTCAACCGGCTCCGTGACTGCAATATCCCCTAAGTCCACTATGCTTGGATCCATTTCTAATATCATTTCCAAGTCTTTGTCTATTCCAACAGTTACTCGTACATTACCTTCAGATTGTTTGTTATCATCATTAGAGCTAATAGACAATGCTGAATGGAAATGAGAGAGGACGTTTTGTTCCTCATTTTTTAAGGTTTGCTCTATTTGTGTGTAACCTATCTCTGGTTGTACAATATCGTTATTAGTTTCGTCAAAATCCATCAAGGCAGTAGGTTCAACGCCAACCTCAATTCCAAGCATTGGGTCGACTACATTAGGATCACTCATTTTCTGATTTTTTTTGCTTTCGTTTGATTGATTTAAATTATCTTTTGTGGTAGTCATTCGGAGAGTTTGTATTCGTTGTAGAAATTCCTGAAACTCTGTTAAATTATCTGAAGATGGATTAAAAATACTTTGAGGTGACATTGTGCTTCCGTTAGGATAACTGATAGGGTTCAGATTAGACTATTTGAGCTGACAAAAGATAACTGTGATTTGGGGTTGGATAATGTTTGCTAGTGTTCGGGCAGTGCTCATTTGTCTGCTTCAGTAATTGATACGAATGCTGACCGAAACGGTTGTGACTCTATAAATTGGTTTTTGAGTGATTTTGTAGTTACAAAGTTATCGATCCACATTATTTTTGAAAGAACAATTATTTATGATACCGATATTTTCATATATTTGATTTAATTTTCGTTTCATTTCATAAATGTTACGTATGTCTATTAAATGTTCATAACGCACGTGCTAATACGCATTTATTAAATGATTGGCAACAAATACTTTTCTTCGTTTTGTATCATTAAATACTTCACGATAAATCTATAAAACTTTGTTAAATATATGAATACATATGTATGTGTTATCATGAAAATATATAAGTCGATATATTCTCAAAGCAATATACACCGTAAATTCAGATCTTTGCGTTTATTCACAATACTTTTTATTTACTTTTCTTTATATCTTCTCTGTACATAATTTTTTGTTCAAACACCTATGATTCATTTATAATTTGTTTCTTAATAACATTTCACTTCATATTTATATTTTTCGGTGGCAATAAAGTTCTACAATTATTATTAATTAACCTAACCAAATTATATATTTTCTCATTTTGCGTATATCGTCAACTAATAAAAGTTGAAGGTTTTTCTTTGGCGTATACTGAGGAGAAAAGCAAAAGAAAAACGGACCTTGATCTTGTATCATACAAAATCTCTTGAATTCGGCACCTATCGATGAGCGGTTCGATCATTCGAACTGCTTTCGTACAATTATTCTATTTAAAAACAGCTTTGTGTCTGAAAAACAGGGTATTTATATTAAACTTATAATTGTTTAAATTATGTTTTAGTTTTGAAGTTTTAAATATTTCCTATAAGTTTTAAAAGAATTGTCAAATGTTTTTTGCGGTACAATTTAATTTATAAAATGTAAAAATGTTTTGATAATAATAATAATAACAATTATTTGTTATTAACACAGTAAATTTTAAAAAATTATATTCAAAAATATTGACCCTATATTCGATAAGAAAATTTTTGAGAGATACGCGCATGTTCAAAAAAATTTCAAAAGCTTTTATTAGTAATACATCTAGATATGCGATAGAGTAAGCACACGAACTTGTGTTTAGGTATTTATGTGGACAAATAATGTAAAAACTTTTGAAATAACGTAAATCTCTGCAAAGTTATCCCATGTTTGTTCTTCTAATTGAAGGAAAAATCATCTTATCTTTTACTTAATTAGGGTGGGACCATTTAAATTTGTAATGAAATAAACCATAACTAGGGTAGGACAATTTTAAATTGTAATGAAATAAACCATATAAGTATCCGCATTAATGATATTTTTGAACAAATTTACCCCCATTGTCAGGCTACTGGTATTCTTAGAGTAGATTTTATATTAAAATAGCATAAACGAGGTAAATAATGTTAGAAGAATACGTTGGTGATCAAAGTAGAACTTGGTGTGAAATTACTAGCAGATTATAGTTTAATTACTAATTACAACCTACTTATTTTACAAAATGTGAGTTTTGGGTACAATTAAACATGATACTTTTTATTCGTTTAAATTTTGTTTAATTTCATATATTTTTTACACACATAATATATAGCAAGACATTGATTATTGAGGGCAGAAAAATGTTGATTATAGATTTGTAACAAAACAAATTATTGCTTGTCTTATAATTGGGAAAATATCAATCAATTGTTTGAGATTATACTCGTTTGATATTTGCAGTTAAACTAAAATACCAATTACGTATTTATTCAAGGGATGCATTCTCACTTTGGTACCCAAATTATCTAATTAAGTGCACATTTTCTTTCAATTTGAGAATAATTTGGAAAAGTTGTGGATTTTTGGTAAGTTACTATACACCAAAAATTATTTAGATACCTCTAATGACAATATTTTTTTAAATATATTCTATATATGTATGCAAATGAGATTTTTAATTTTTATATTAAATTGTGCTTAACTTTCAAAATAAATAATTATATATGTTTAAACATTAAAAATATACAAGGGCTCTTACATGTCATCGAATCGTACAGAACGGGTGGCTGCCTTCAATTCATAGAATTCAACATTATCCGATCTTCCAGCAACTTGGACTTCAGTAGAAAGTAAATCCAAATCTTCGATCGGAAAATATTCAAGATCGAAATCCATATTTATGCCAGACTCAGCCATAATCCCAGTTGAATATATTTTAGGAAGGTTGAACTTGAGGTAAATGGAAAAGTTCAAGCTTCATTCCTTGATCAATTAGCGCAAATTGATTGCTAGCAGCTTGTGGTGAATTGGTGAATTTTCATCAAAATATGTTTAATGTTGTGCAATATCTTTTCATTTTACTCTCCGTTGTCTTATTTGTTTGGTTGCTTAATTAAGAAGAGCTTGAAACTCGGTCGTTGGCAATCGGCAATTTATTCCAATAAAATCAACTTGAATGTCTTGTTAAACGATGGTTTGTGATAGTGCTCTATAAATCACTAATACATATGTAACCACGTGTACTAAAGCAGCTGATTACTTGCTAGTTGCTTTTGTCGATCGATTGTGTTAGAGTTTGTGCTTCTTTTGTTGCCTTTATCATGTTGGTAGAAAGGCCAACTTCGTGTGTAGATACGGTGGTTGTGTTATTTTGTTTGATTTTTTATTAACAGGTGTAACGTAGTTATTTTTGGTTCTCTTAAGATCCTAGCAACTTCACTGATATTTTGGCGGCCATCTTTAATTCTATTTTCATTTTTATTAGACATTAATTTAACACGATCACTCTTCGTTGCGTCTCGTACAAACACAAATTCAACATTAACACAAACATAAGCTTATTAGTATTATTTCTAACTATGTATTTGCCAAGTTGAATGTGCGAGCGTAATGGCTGTCGGAACCAGTTCAAACTCTTGAGTTCATGTCGCACTACAGATCTTTTAACAAATACAAAATGATCGTTCAAATTTTTTACAATTTCATACTGATTTCTTGTAACTTATTACCAATTGCATGTACTGACTTTTAAATCTAATTGTAGAACTTCACCACTTAGTGCCAACCGTCCGTCTCTACTACCTACTGGCGATACCGGGGAAAAAGATAAAGCAGTGGGAGAGTATTTACTCATTGTACTCGTACAGTTAAAGTGGTTTCGGAGGTAGCTTTGAATGTAATATGCAACTCACCTCAGTTAATGGTGGATACAAATACGGTAATGAAACGAGTGCTAACACAAAATACAAGTAAAATAATATTATTGACATATTCATTTGTAGCATAATAGCTTAGTTATATTTATAATACATAATTACTTTCTTTATTTGGTGTTATATTTTTTTAGGTTATTAAATGAAATATTTTCGCATAAAATCTAATTATAATGCTCAGACACTGGTAATAAACTTCAAACAAATGACAATACAAATGACAAGTGAGGCTGGGCCAAGCATATACAAAAGGTGTAAGAATCAAATTTGATAAATAAATGCATATGCATTTGTAATCTGACAAATTAGTCAATTCATTCGTATGTCGTCAATCAATTGGTATTTGAAAAAAAATAGTCAAACATTAAACATAACACTTCGGAAATGAGCATTATATACAAATTATGAATACGACTACTAAACGTTTGTTAAGAAATCGTACAGTTTAGAAAATAATGTGTAATATGTATATAGATTAGCCAACCCAAAGAATGTAATAAAGCAAGCTTTAAACATAAATTTTAACTAATTGCGTTTAGTTAGACTTAATTTATAGTCTTATTTTTATAACATTTACATTTTTTGTGTTGCAGCAAAGGAAGATATAACGGTATCGTCAGTTTCCCCTACTAGGTTAGGTGTAGTAATTGATCTTAACAGCACCAATCATAACTTCGACCAACAGATGTCGCAAAAAATCACCTAAATTGTGAATACGACTACTAAGCGTTTGTTAAGGAATCGTACAGTTTAGAAATATATGTAATATGTATATAGATTAGCCAACCCAAAGAATGTAATAAAGCAAGCTTTAACATACCTTTTAACTAATTGCGTTTAGTTAGACTTAATTTATAGACTTATTTTATAGCATTTACATTTTTTGTGTTGCAGCAAAGGAAGTTATAACTGTATCGTCAGGTACCCCTACTTGGTTAGGTGTAGTAATTGACCTTAACAGCACCAATCATAACTTCGACCAACAGATGTCGCAAAAAATCACCTAAATGTGAAAAATGCATAATCAAAATTCATAATTCAAATATTACTCCCTCCATTTGAGTATGTACATTGTTATTGTTTTTCTTTAAGTTATAAGTCCTTCCTTTCTTAAAATAATATAAACCTACCATTACCTATTACTACCCTTAGGTAATTCAAATAATTTTTTTTAATCATTCGGGTTTTTCCATACAAGTATGTACATACACAATGAGTTTTAAGTCGCGAAGGTAATTGAACACGTATGTTAAGTACATTTTTAGTGCAATGGTTTCTTCTATTTACGCTACTATAATTTATTTATTAATAAATTAAAAAGGGGTAAATCAGCTTTAATCCCTTATCTTTCGCTCTCTTGCTTTCAGTCTGTTATAATCAAACAAATCGAAAGAAAATCGTTTTGTAATT